CAGAGGGGCAAACCGCTTTGCTGCACTTGTCACTGGGTGCAAACACAACCGCCCTTCTTGCTACAGAGCCCCCTTGTGGGCCTCAGACGTGTCTGTGTGAGCTCTCGGTGTGTGCGCCAAGCAGAGTCACAATCTCAGGATGGGGAATTACACAAGGCGCCAGCCCTCAGCAATATTCCGAGTAATCTTCCTCCACGTAACAGAGGGGCAAACCGCTTTGCTGCACTTGTCACTGGGTGCAAACACAACCGCCCTTCTTGCTACAGAGCCCCCTTGTGGGCCTCAGACGTGTCTGTGTGAGCTCTCGGTGTGTGCGCCAAGCAGAGTCACAATCTCAGGATGGGGAATTACACAAGGCGCCAGCCCTCAGCAATATTCCGAGTAATCTTCCTCCACGTAATTCGCTGGGAACCAGCCAACCTAGGAGGGGAAAATCAAGTAAGATGTGGAACTGTTATCACAAAACCGGTCCTGGAAGATGGCCCACATCTCATATATGCATTGCTGCCCTCTTCTGCACGAGATTGGTGCTCCTTTCCTGTGTGTCATTAGCCCTGTACCGTTAAGAGCTAAAGAGGAGTCTCCCATGACACAACTTGTTTTGGCAGCAGGAAGTTCTGTGCGCTATCCCCAGTACTGTAGGGGAGATCAGCTGGTCGTGCCATGCAGCACAGGGGCCAATAGCATGAGGTGTGGGCAACAGGGATTGAACCTTGGATGTCTGGATCTAAAAAAGTTAGTTCCATAAGCTGACTCATCCACCATCGTGCCACAACAAAGTCACCACTTGGTCATGACTTTCTTGGCAATCTACAGTTCCATTAGGTGTTCATTAGAACACGTGAGCATGTGTGAGGATTGTGCTTGTCCACATGCATGTGTGTGGAGATTGTACATACCTGTGTGCACATGCAAGAGTAATATGTGTGTACGTGTGCAGGGATTGTGTGTACACACATCTTTGTGTGTGCATCTGTGGAGAGTGGAGGGGTGAGAGAGTGCTGCCCCCTGCTGGTAGGATATGATCACACCTGCTCACAAGTGTGTGTGTGGGCGAGCAGGAACTCTGCCCCCTGCTGGATGGAATTCATTGGAGTTGCTCATCTGAACCAGTGTGTACAGAGAGTGGGTTGTGTATGTTGTGTGTGTGTAGAGGTGTGGAGAACGCTGACCCCTTCTGGATGTATGTGCGGGTTGTGTGTGTATGGGTGTAATAATGGCCCCTTGTGGACAAGTCCTGTGAGCCTGCTCTGGAGCACATGGGGGCTGAGAAACCCCCCCCGGTCCCAACCCCCACTCGGCGGTGCACTCACCCGGCCATAGATCTCCCCTTTCCACCAGCCCTGCTGCCCCTTCTTGCTCAGGATCTTTATGATGTCGCCTTCCTTCAGCGTCAGCTCTGTCCGGTCCCGTGCGCAGAAATCGTAGCGCGCCTTCGCCGACCCGAAGTACTTCAGCCCTCCTGCTGCGAGGGGAAAGGCCCACACTAAGCACAGCTGGGCTGGGACTGGACACCCTCCAATTAACATCCACCCCCTGCTGGGATCCTGGAAGCTGAGTGGCCCCCGGAAGTGCTCGTCACCCTCCACATGGTGGGAGACAGTGACCGCAAGGTGAAGGATTGGCTCTCCCCACCTGGCATCCCATGGGCTTGGGACACAAAGGGTTAACTGCCTGTGGCTACCAGGGTGGAATCCACACACCAGCTGGGACCAGGGTGGAGGGAACCGCAGCTGGAGGCTACGGCCGCATGCTCCCCCATGCTGCAGTGTCTCCCATTGGCACCAAAGATGCAGCCCAGAATATCCCCCTCCCCCCCCTTCTTTCCAGTGGAGCCTTTGCCAGATCCGGCACGGAGCAGAGGTCACACTGGTGCTGGGTTTTAAAAGGCTCCTCCAGCCTGGCTGCAGCCCTGACCACCCGGTGCTGCCCCAGCCCTTTATGGGCACATCTGGCCCGGATGAACGATTCCAGCTGGGAAAGGAGAAGTGGCCTCACAACAGTTTTCCTGCATTTGTCTAAATTTTCCCATTTTTGTTGAAAACCCCAATTTTGGGGTATCCCCCAACACTGAACTAAGCACGTTTGACAAAAACTAGAACAGGGGCCAATCTTGGGGTTGAAAAGCCACCGTCCCTTAAGAAAAATATTTTGGGGGAAATTTCCATGCTGCACATGCTCAGTCATTCCAAACCCCCAGGCGCTGAGATCCTGCAGTGCCAGGGGGCTCTCGAGGTCTCCCCGCCCCCATCAAAACAGACCCCCTGAGC